CATCCATCCATCCATCCATCCATCCATCCATCCATCCATCCATCCATCCATCCATCCATCCATCCATCCTATTAACCTCATAATATTAAATCATTATTAGCTCTTGATAATATCAAGAGTCCATAATAGAAAATAATTTTAATGGTAAATATGGACTCTTGATAATATTATGGTCGCTATCAGCTGTTTCTAAACCACACCCTCTTGCTGTGGCTCGCTGATTGGCTGATCAGCACACACCTTCTCACGGCGCTTGCTGATTGGTTAGCGACGCCACAAAACCTAAGGTCATTGGAAAAGCATCACCATTTTACACAGCGAGGATTGAAAGTGAATGCGGTTAGAATCTGATTTCGATTCTACCAACATAGCGAGCCTTCATCTTGGAATGCTACGTAAGTACCTTTATAATACACAAAATAACAGTAGCCGAAGGTAATAACGTTTGTTATTGTGCATACACTCTGAAAACACGGATGATGTAAACATGCATGGCCGCTCGTTGGTTGCCGAGCCGAGGGATCATACTACTGCACGCTGGTAATTTTCCGTAGGATCTCGGTGCTGTAAGTTTACACTGTAGGCGAGGCAAGCAGGGACGTCGATTCCTGCTGGTCATGTGGTAGCCCTTCCAGTGTACGGTGTACTAGCGCTGGCGGGGAGAAGATAGCGAGACGCGTGGAAGTATATATAGCTATGTACTGTAGCAGACGACGGTTCAAGTTCACGTATAGGTTGGTTGGTTAGACTATTAAATAAAGTATACAATCCAACAACACGCATGCACTTCAACTGCTAGTAGTAGTAGTAGTGCTAGGATCAGGTGCATCGATCGAACTCCTACGTACGTTGTTGTCGTTGTTGTCCATTTCATTCTTCTTTACGAGGACATATAGTTACTTTGTTGGCTTTCCATCCATAACACCATTCAAGGAACACCTATCTTCGATATATATAGTACATTGGACTTTGAAGACTATTATTTACGAGGTTGCGAGGTTACACTATAGGCCTACTGCTAGATTGTTTGCTCTGACTTCCACCCAAGCATCCTTAATTGTTGATGCTAATTGGCCTTGGGGGTCAGCGTGTTTGTTAACTTATGGTACGTTATTTTCTAATACTTGTTGCTGTACACGTATACGAGATATATAGTGACAAGATCATGCATCTGCATGTAGCAACGACCTTGTCACTGTATTACGTTCATATGGTTACTGACAGCCATGAGAACATAACACAACGCCAGGAGTGTAAACACCTCCTTTCGGCAACGCTTCTCTAGTATCCCGTCTCATCTGGATACAATAATGTAACCCAACAAGAGTAGGGTTACAAAGCGTTCCTATCCTTTTGTGTGGAGGAAAGCCTGAGTGAATCACTCATGCAGGTTTGCTGGTGCGTTTTCAGAGACTAGAACTTCCAAACTGGGTTTATTCTCAACACGAACCTTTCTCCTCTATCTTGGAACTTACCATGTATCACAATACTCTGTATTAAACTAATATATTATAACCTGTTACAAAAATTCGAAGTGACGAGCGGCGAATATAAGTACTGAGCGCCATTTCTGTTGACCTGTGACGTACTTCGGTTTGAAGAGCGGATTCACCGACCAATCGAAGGGCGCTGCGTTTGCCGATCACTATGCGCATTGGGAATTTGTACGTCACAGGTCAACAGAAATGGCGCTCAGTATATTCGCCACTCGTCACTTCGAATTTTTGTAACAGGTTATATTAGTTTAATACAGAGTATTACTATTGCGATACATAGTAAGTTCCAGATAGCGGAGAAAGGTTCGTGTTGAGAATAAACCCAGTTTGGAAGTTCTAGTCTCTGAAAACGCACCAGAAAACCTGCATGAGTGATTCACTCAGGCGTTCCTCCACACAAAAGGATAGGGACGCTTTGTAACCCTACTCTTGTTGGGTTACATTATTGTATCTAGCCAACACCCAGCCATATGCAACAACCATGCAGTACAAAGCAGCATTGTGTAGTAGTTATAGGTGCTGGGTTTTGCTGGCAGGTTGTACGATCAACTTGGCCATGATAGATACGACTATCCATAGATGGGATATACATGCGTTTATGCTATAATCTATATATATGTTATTCATCGTTATAGTCAATCTATTCATATCTGTCATATATAACTGCATGGCAAGGATATAGATACTGACAGTAGCATCAATAAACTCGCAGAATGATCAGTGTCATCATAATATATTCAGTTCAGGCACTGGCTGTTCAACATGGCTGTTGATAAAGATTGGGGAAGTCGTTTTCATATAAGTGTAGATGAGGAGCGTAGCTAACCCATTTTGCCTAGGGTGAGCCACGTGCGTGGTGTGTTCTACGAAGGTGACCGTCATTGGCCATGTTGTAATGTGTACCAGGAGGTTATACACATTTCTTTGGTGCAATCTCCCCCCCCCCCTGCCAGCTAGGGCCCAGTAGATAGCAGGGTGTGCAATTAACGGGGGTCTGGATTCAAATACTCCCTGATTTACTGTCGGACTCCCTGATTTGACATATGCTATTGCAGGAGTCCGTGTGACTCCCTGAAAATTCTGCCATACTAACTATAGTTTGTTCCGATGCACGGCCTCGCGGAATTACTGTATTTTTTTAGCCAATGTCTAAAGTAAATTTGGCAGACGTGCAACTGCATGAATCTTAAAAATTAGCACTTGAGTTACTGTTAATATCTTTAATTTTGAACCTCAGACTGCAGAATCCCTTATTTTGCTGCGGACTCCTTTGTTCATAAGTTAATTTCTAACCCTGAGATAGGGTTTTGTTTGCGGGCAGTGGGGGCCGTGCTTGCACCCGTACTTCCGTACTAGACACTGTTCAAGAAATTCTAGAACAGAAACTTGTTTACTAATATATATATACAAGTTGCACTCGTATCACTGCAGTTTGAGAGGTGTTGTGGGTGTGGAGCCAGTTCGGGTTAGTATAGACACAGGCCATGTGCACGTGAGTGCTACTAGCTCAAGTACTACACTGCATGTATAGATTATGTAAAATCACGTTGGGATCACGCGACCAGATCGATATTCCACTACCCAACTTTCGCCTATCTCTCATACATTCTACTGTAGTTATATAAACAATTTATTTACACGAGTGAGATATATAGCCATGCAGACTTCCCAGGGGTCGATAATCAGCATGGTATTTGAAACGCGTTATTTGTACATCTTTCCAAGTTCCCTTGTACCAAACCCTATCCCCAAATGCCGTCTTTTTTTCTTATTACATTTAGTATATATAGTGCGTATAATAATAGTTGGGCATAGATGAATTGAGAAAGTTTTCCACTAGTTATGCTATCACGTTCTGGCAATGCACATTCTGCGTCGCTACAACGTGTTCATTATAAATTTCTGATTCTATGACGCACGAATGAATTTCCTGATTTACCAAACGAGCAAAACCAGTATCACAAGTACATGTACCTTATTTTAGTCATGCAGCGATCGACTGGTTTATGTTTGTAGGCAGTAGTGCAATGTGACCATGAAATCAGGTGAAATTGGCGCCACCAACTTGTGGTTTTGTGTGTTACCAAATTTTTATGACGTGGGAGACTAGTGAGGGGGGGGGGGTGCGTTGGTTTCTGGTGCCAGGGCAACACGCGTAATTCTATAAATAACATTGCTGCTTGCATCATTTTTTTCCCAACCGTGAATCGTGAAGAGGTTATCTACTGCAGTGCCATCTGTAGTGCAACATATTTTGTAATTCGGATAATTGATTTGTACACGTGTATAAACTCAGCCAGGCAACCTTGCCGGTTTGATACTAAAACACAATACCTCACTCAAAATAAATTGCATAGCAAAAGTACAGTTGGGGCGAAAACACAGCAGACATGTGTTTCATTTGTGTATAATTTCCTTCTTTTATGGGAGAACATGACCCAACATCACTTTCAATTAAATTGTTCTCTGTTTTAATTATATTTTTACTGGACAGTCTGCAGCCGGATAAACGCGCGAAGCGCGAACAGCGCCACCTGTGGTGCCACAATGACTTCATCGCTGCCCTTACTTAGAATACATTCACGAATCCCTTCTGGGAGTAGGATAAAGCCGTATAATCGGTCAATTGAGCAGTTCTGGCCATTGCAGAATTTTTTGGACTTTGCACGTAGTGCGAGAATAAATCCAATGGTCGTAATTCGTACTTTGTTTGGTTTGCGCGTTTCTGTTTTTTATATAAAAGCGATTTGTAATTGATTTAATTTAACGCCCTGAAGTTATTCTCGTAGATATCGCGTCCCATAGGTCGCGCCACGAGGCTCTCTTGGAGCGATTTCGCACATAAATTTCCTGAGACTGGCCCGCGGTGCAGAGTTTGACACGCTGCAGTAACTATAACTTTAGTGTAGCGAAAGAGACTTGCCCGAATTAACGTCCGTACCAGTCTAACCTGGAATCGTGACATCGCGTGTTCGTTATCGTAGCCATCTTGCTTCTCCTTA